ACAGCGTGCTACGATGATTTTTGGAACGGTGTTGGCAGTACTGCCAGCGCTGACAAACAATTTTGGAACACAGCCTATATATAGGACTCTATATAAATACACAACCCCTCGCTTTCTCTCCTTTGACGACGCGACGCGTGACGCGCTCAGTGGAAACTCAGCCTAAGAATCAACTATGGATGGTCGCGTTCAGCAGACTCAACTGTTGTGGAGCAGATCCGTGAGCACTCGCTGCTATTGGTGTATTCTTCTAGATCATCCAATAGCAGTGAGTGCTCACGGATCTGCTCCACATCAGTTGAGTCTGCTGAACGCGACCTTTGACGCGACCAATATCGGCCTAGGACTCTACGCGGTACATTGTTAATCTAGTAACGTCATGGCTGCGATGCTATCAATGCCAGTATCGCAGTTAATACGGTAGCAAGATTCTAATCAATTCTAATCCAGCTAGCAGGAAAATAAGGCCCTGCGCACAATAAAGGAAATATTAGGAGCAGGAATAGATATTAAGATTTCAACATATCAGAAACCTTGAATTCCGATGTAACTGGTATCTGATAGGTTAAAATTTCAATATCTATTCCTGTTCCTAAAGGCTTAGGGCCTGCGCACAATAGAGGAACAAGAATTAGATATTAAGATTTCAACCTATCCAGAAACCGTGTATTCCGATGTAATCAGTTTCTGATAGGTTAAAATCTTAATATCTAATTCCTGTTCCTCTTTTGTGCTCAGGCCCTTAAACACAATAGATACAGGCAATAGGCACAGGCAACAGGGAATAACGAGCCGTTCAATCAGAGCTCTGGTGTGTAAGTTCGATATTATATCCCACAGTTCTGCTTGGAAGGCTCGTTATTCTCTGTTGCCTGTATCTATTGTGTTTAAGCCTGAATATTTCCTCTATTGTGCGCAAGGCCTAATGGTGCGGTCACAATAGAAGGAATAAGGAATTAGGAATAAGGAATAAAGATTCCAATCTATCAGAAACCGTGTATTCCGGTGTATCCGATATCTGATAGGTTGAAATCTTTATTCCTTATTCCTAATTCCTTATTCCTTCTATTGTGGCTGCACCTTAAGCATCGTGTGCCACACAGGCTTATGGCCACAGCACAGACTTTTGCATAACACATAACGCATAGTGCATAAGCGAATCAACTAATCAGAAGCTTTCCTTTCCTCTTATTCCATAATAAAGAAGAATTTCGATTGGTTGATTCCCTTATGCACTATGCATTATGCGTTATGCAAGAGTGTGTGCTGCGGCCATTAAGTTTATGGGCAATTTGGGCTGCGGTCCACTTAACGCTACAAACGCTTCGAAGCGTTTGATCGACCAATCAGAACAAAGATTTTTCAAATTGATCTCACTTAACGCTACAAACGCTTCGAAGCGTTTGATCGACCAATCAGAACAAAGATTTTTCAAATTAATCAATTTTACAAATTGACTAATCAAAAACGCTTCGAAGCGTTTGTAGCGTCAAATGGACCGCAGCCTTGGAGGAATTGGATTGGAGGAAAAAAATTGACTGGCTCACTTTGGCAGTTGACTGTTGTATTCGACATTCGGTACGAAGTTGATGTAAAAATTGTTTCATGTAATGAGAAAATGCATTCGAAAAAGATAAAGAAACTAAAACAAACACATGAAGAAGAAAAAATACAATCGTTGGAAAGTTTACTAAAAGTATTACGGTATGCCATAAAATTCCAAATGCATGTATATCTTTTATAGAAGAATATTTTTGGATTAGAGATAGAATATTGTTTGAGTCCAATAGTTTAAAGTTTGAATTGTACATACAAATGAACAGAAAGAAAAATTGTTCTAATCTTCATATAAACAATTGTATAAATTAACAGAAAGAAAAATTTTCTTGACGAAGAAGCAAGTGAATTTGTTGAGAGAGATTTTTGTCCAGTCCGGAAGAGTACTTGTTTAACAATGAGCGGCTTAGTGAGGACAGGAATGATGAAGATTGCCAATATAGTGATTACATTAAACAGTTTGCTGCAACATTATTTTTTTACTCACCGAAAGGCTACAATTATTGCAAGTAAATGTCACAAGTTGTAATATTTATTTACAATAGGTTTTGTATTTTTTTGCTGTTTTTTAAAATGATTTTTTATTTTAGTCATTATATTTCATTGATAGTAAACTTGATCTTGTAAAAAAATAAAGTTTACAATTATTTTACTTTAGTATATAGATAAGTCTTATGTGTATATAAATCTCATGAATTCAAACTAAATAGCTAATCATACAAATAAGAAATATTTGTAACTTTTCAGATCTATTCTTCATTTGCCACATGAAAGTATCATCAGAAATTGGACTTTGTCTTGTAGTGCAGAGCCTGGTTTTCTGTCAGATGTCTTCAAAGAGATATCTACATTCTCTAAAATTTCACGTCACTGTAATTTGGTTTTTCATTCTATGCCAGTTCGACAAGACACAATGTATGATTGGGAATCACACGAAGTTTTGGGCGACTGCAATTATGGCAATAAAATAACTCTTGAAGGTTGTGAAAGCAAAGCTACTGAAGTCTTTATTTTTTATGTTGGTTTCACTTAGAGACACATGGAAGTGGCCTGTGGGTTACTTTTTTATCAATAGAATAACTCCTTCAGTACAAGCAGAATTAATAAAAGCAGCATTAATTATGGCACAGCAATCTGGAATCAAGGTATGGAGTGTAACCTGTGAAGGAACTCCAGATGATTATTCTACAATGAAGTTGTTAGGTTGTAATTTGTATACATCAAATTATTCTGACTTAAAAACTACGTTTAAACATCCAAGCTCTGATTACGATGTATACCTTGTAACCTAACGTTTACCATAACATGACGTATGCCAGATTGGCATTATTTAGTCATAGAATTCTGAAATCTCCCACTGCACAGATAAAGTCGAGTCACATAACAAATTTATATCAACTTCAACTTAAACTGAATTCGAAGTTGTCAAATGAACGTACTTCTCTTATAAATTCTAAAGCAAACATTATTAAGATGGAACTAGCAGCACAAACGTTAAATTCTTCAACTGCTTCTGCTTTAGAATTTTTGAAATATTCTGAAGTAGAACAATTTAATGACTGTGCTGGTACAATCGAATTTATCAAGGCAATTGATGAAATATTTGACTTTTTAAACTCGCGTAATCCTTTTGGAAAGGGATTTAAAGAGCCAATTTATTATAATAATATAACTCGTGTACAAGAAAGGATTGAGGAAAAAATTCAATATTTGTATACTTTAAAGGACCGTGTCAATAATCGGTTGTATTGTATAAGAGGAGGATTTGTTGTAAACTTTGCTATTGCAGTAAAATCTATATTAAACATAGCCAAAAATATTTTATTAGAACCTTCTTTTAAATATCTTCTGACATATAGATTTAGTCAAGATCACTTAACACTTTTCTTTGCTCAAATGCGGCAGAAATACAAATTAAATGATTACTCAATGGTAATAGACTTTAAGCCTGCAATGAAAAGCTTTCTAATAAATAACTCGATTTCAACTTCGGGGAGTTGCGTCAGTTTTGATGTTGAAAATGACATAAGATTGAAATTAACATGGCCCAAGAACAAAAAAAATTATAAAAATTGGCATAATACGTATATGAATAGTGAATCTTGGGATGCTAGATTCGATGTCAATGATATTAACTTATTCCTTGATACCGATAATATTGAACTCTATCAAAATATTAATATAAATAACAATTTTCTTAAAGAAAATATTTTACATTACATAATTGGTTTTATTATAAAAAAACTTTTGCTGAGATTAACGTGTAAAGATTGCATTGCCAATATTATAAGAAAAGTCGGTGATAAGAAATTCAATTTTGCAATGCATACAATATTAATTTCTTTAAAAAATAATAGAGATTTAATGTATGCATCGCATGATGTTCTCAAAATTGTTTGTGCAGCTGAAACTGAATTCCTTATATTAATCAACGAAAGTAATAATAAATTATTGAAAAAAGATTCATTTCCAAAAATTGCGTATCGAGTGACACGCAAATATGCATTAGATGCAGATATATTTTGCAATAATGACGAATGCTTCGAAGAGTTAGAGGTAGGGATAGAGGTTCCACACCGCCTACAGTTAATAAATATTATCTGTCTAAATATTAGATGCAGATATATTTTGCAATAATGACGAATGCTTCGAAGAGTTAGAGGTAGGGATAGAGATTCCACACCGCCTACAGTTAATAAATATTATCTGTCTAAAATACTTAACACTATACTTAACACTTAGAATGTATTTACTTTCAAAGACAGTAAACTATGATCTTTTACGGTATAAAAATTATCTTTTACGATTAGCCAAAGACATGTAAAATTAATATTATTTAACCATATAAATCTTACTTGCCAATTTTTAATTTCATTTTCAATAATTTCTTTGAGAAATAAAAACATTTTGTTCTAAGCGTTAATTATTTTCATTTATGTTAGCAAGTATGAGATTGTCTGTTTGACAATTAGTAATGTGTTTCATGCTTCTTTATGTGAAAATATATTTTTTCTACAAAAAAAATTATTGTTTATTATTATTTTCTGCATCTTTAATACAAACATTTTTGTATTTATCAATTAAAGATCGGCAGGAGTGATAAGTTAACTCTTGACTCTGTACCTCATTTGCTACTGCAAGTACATATCTGTGTGTATACTCTATATTATTTTTGTTTCATAGAAGAAATATCTTACTTCTTCTGCTTATGAGATTTCAAAGTCTATTAAAGAGTAGGGTTTTGCAATTTCCATTCTTTTAAAACAATAAAGAAATTATCTGCACTATAGTGTAGATCAAGTGAGATATAAATTTCTGTTTTCTTTTTTTTTTTTTTTAAAAGATATTAGTTAATCTCTTGCTATAAATATAGTTAATCTCTTGCTGTAAAAGCAACGAGAAATATATTTAAGAAATCAATTAGAAATATAAAGTATCAAATATAAAATATATCATATTATATAGTTCATATTTTATATATACAGAGTGATCCAGACCAACCACAGGAGCTTGCATAGTATACGTATTTCTCATGAAAAACTGATAACGAATTCGGTCACTTGCATTACACTACAGTGCATACTAAAAGCTATTTTACATGAAATTAGCAAAGTTAAATGTAAAAGTGTTAAAATATTTTGAACGATTAACTATTTACTAATGATATTGTTAAATTATTTAACAAAATATATGTGTACCATTTCATTGCAAAGTTGATTATAATGTATCACTGCATTGAGATATTTTATATAAAGCAGCTTTTAATATGCACTAATCCAGTGCAATGCGAGTGATCAAATTCATTATGAATCGAAAATGTTAATAGCAAAATGTTGAGATGTCAATAGTTTTTGAATGGTGATGTCACGTCGTATGTAACGCTAGGCGAATTTTAGGAATTCTCGGTTCGACCCGGAGAACTCCAAATGTTGATTCAGCTATCGTTGGTAAGGCGATCCAGAATTCAACTATTTTTTCGTGGGACGTTGCCGTGAGGTTAAGGGAGTTAAAATCCCAAAATCCGTAGCCTGAGGGTAGATTGTCAATGTCCGCTGGTGGAAATCCTGGTTGGTTGATGCTTTTACTCGATGAGGAAGGGGATCTTTGATAGAACAGTCGTTGAATTATTGTAATAACTTGAGATTCGATAATATAACTTCTTTATTGTAAAGTAATATGTGGATATGATAAACCGAAAGCTTCAATTGACTGACGCGAAGACTAAGAGTTAAGCTGATCACCCAAGAGTCTCTCTCTGAACTCCGTATGGAAAAAAAGGCCGCTTTTGCGATGAGGGTGGCTGCTTTTATATTGTTACGAACAATGGGAAGTGACTCATAAGCGTTATTGTCTTGGAGGGGTCGTCTTCATGACCTTATATGGCAATGTTAAAATCGGATGA